AAAAAAAAAAAAAAAGAGTGCAACCGGTGATGCAACTTGAAAATAGACAATAATAAATTAATGTCATGAATTGAATTGTAGGACAAGGATTATACGAAGAAAATTTATTCAATGCATAAAATAAAAAGTAATTTTTATGCAAATAATCAGGATGAGATATCCATCTCAGATGGCACCGAAAACTATGATTCCTTTAACAGATTTGACTGCATATGGAGCACTAATATTGTGAGACATGGAGAGTACAGATGACATAAAAATTAAGACACGCTGAATTTCGGAAAATGTGCACAATTTCATCAAGACTGGATTAATTAAAGCCCTGTTTGGGGCAGCTTTTTCGCTGCGATGGCGTTTTGAAAACGTTGGGATTATAATTGTTTTGCGTGTTCCATCCGCTTATCGCAAAATGCGGATCGAGTTCTTTAATAAACGCGATCATGGGAGAGCCCCTGCGGCCTGCATTTTTCTTTCGGGCTTTTATTCGCTTGCCCTTAAGCTCTGCTTCACGAGAGAGCCATCGATCTCCCATTTCCCCTCGACGAGATTGTGAGCAAAAGAGGCTTGCGCATCAGTTATCGCGGCTTTCCTTCGTCGATTAGCAAAGATCTCCTTGAATCTTCTTCTTCGGAGCACGAGAAGAAGAGTTCCATATCGACGTCTTCCTCCTAGCATCGGAAGATTGCAGGTTTTTCTTCTCCTTCCTGATCAAACCACATGGATCTAACATTAAGCTGCCATCACACAACTAAAATTAGATGATAATCTTATTATGTCTTGTATTTAAGTTTCATATTTCTATAACTAATCTAGCTTTGTTTTTTAAAACTTATTTTAATTATCTTGGCTGCTATACATATCATTTATACTTATGAAAGCAAGTGCTGAACACGAATCATATATTTTTTTTAAGCTTAATATTTTTTTAGTTAAGTGACTTGGATAATTTTAATGTTCATATATTTTTTTTTAAAGATTATCTAGATCAACTAGTTGATATTTATTTTTTCTGAAAGCTCAAAATTATGGGAGTAATCAGACCTTGCTGAGTATGGTCTCTTGACTTGTTATATTTGGAATTTGAAGGCATGTTTAATTTAATAGTGAAGCAATAGGTGCTGAAAGCCAATTAATTGATTTTCTTTGAATTACTGTAAAATGAGGGTTTTATAGATTTTTTTTCCTTTTCTGTTTTTATATTGACTAGAATATACAAACTTATGTCGTGAGAATTTCTCTTCTTTTCTGCAAGCTATTTTTTTTCTTGCTTAAAAATTTAGAGACATTAATTGTATAATGCAAGCTGCTTGTGTTTTCTAAGTGAAAATGAAGGAAAAAAGCAGTATATGCGCTTCAAAAGTAATTTTTCAGATAATTCTTGATATTTACAAATGGCTAGTGATTAACATGGCATAACTTTTCATTTATAAGATAGCTTTATAGAGAGTCATTGGGACATAAATCTTAGCGTCTTGAAGGCTATTATCTGTTGAATTAATGCAAGTTCATCTTCATGTTTATTTTTATTCTTATATTGCTAATTACAAATTTTTTATGTTTCTGGCAGATAAGAGGATTATTGATTACAAATAGGGTGCAAGGCTAGCCTTGAAGAAGTTGCTATGATAGTTTTGTCAAACAACATTACTGCACAGGGGTATAATGGACATTTATCCAGAAACAACTACAAATCAACTATTTTCCAAATGCACAAACCAAACAGACAATCACTTTATCCGGATTAGTCGCTGATTAGCAGCTTATCTGGATCAGCTACTTATCAGCAGATTATTGATAAGCTGCAGCTGTCACAAACATATCCTAAAACATTCAAGAAAAGAATGAGACTAAGAAATGAAATATAAAAGAGAATAAAACTTAATATATAAATGACAGTAAAAGTTAGATATTTAATAAAAATAAAATAAAAAATAATTAATAGCAAAAAACCACATCACCGTGGGTGCCAAATGCTCATCAGAGAAAGCATGTCATAGTAAAGATACAAAATAAATATGAGATATGATTGATTCAATTCCCAAAAGTAAAGGGCTATGCAAATTAAGTTCATTAATAAAATTTTTTTGAAGATAGTTTTAGAAATGCATTGATTAGATGACATGGGCCGTCAAAAGGCGAATGCAAAATTTCCCACAATCGACGATCGAACGCCAGTGTAGAGCTGAACCAAGCGCCTCCTTTTTCGATTCCTTTACAAACTTTAGCACATTTTCCTTTATCCTTCCTTTCTAGTCCTTTCATACATATGCATTGTATTAAGATTTGGGTTATCAGTTTTTGACTTATTTTCTATCGGGACAGCCGTTGGCGTTTCTAGTTTCCCCTTCTAGGGTTGTATCTACGGGCAAATTGTGTTCCGACTTTATCCTGTTCCGAGGTGGTGACTACCCTTGACTTTTTCTTCCTTCGTTGTCACCATCGTCGTACCTGTTGCAACCGCCCAGAAACATCCCTCATTGGTTGTTTTTTCTGCAGTCCACCTTGCCACCGCCTTCCAAACTTCGCACTCCTCCCTCCACTTGTGACCACCTCCCCACTTCACCCATCTCGTTGCTGCCAGCACCCCTAAAGAGCCCTCCATCCTCGCTATTATTGTCGTTCAAATCCTCCATCTTCACTGCCACTGCTTTCCAGCCATCCTCCTTTGCTGCCATCATCCCGAACAATCATTCCGCATTGATACCTACTGCGTGCTTGCTGCCCAGAACCCAAAAAACCATTGCCTTGTTGTTTTTTGCTTACCCATCCACTCATCACCATCCAACCACCTTTCAAACCCTCTTCGATCACCACCATCACCTTGAGATCCACCCTAGTCGAGTTTATATTACCATTTGTTGCAATTTCGTATTTCAAGTGTGTTTGTTTGTTGTTATTTCCTATTTCAATTGTCTGGTTGTAATTTCCTATTTGGTTTTCGTGTTGTTGTTGATCAACTCTGATATAATTAGATGGATATACAAAATTAGTGAAAAATGACAGGAAAAAAATGAAAAATTTAAAGTAAGATGCATAGAAGTTCTTCACGATAATTTCAAAAGAATTGTGTTAACACCTCAGATAGAACTAAATAGAAACAAAATGAATGAAGAATGAGAGCTCATAAACCATCCTCAAATACTTGTTATTAGGTGACAATGATGATAGCGACTTTAATATATTTAAATGAATCTCTTACATCAAATAATAAGAGTAAAGCATAAATTATTTCATTCAAAAGCTACCAAAATTTATGCTATTGAGTGCAAATTACATCTATTCAGTACACACCTCCAATATACAAGGATTCTGCATGACAATTCCAAGAACTCGCCTCGTAAGTCCCTTATAAACATTAAAATTAATGTTACCATCACCACTGATCCATGGCAATATAGGCTGAAATCCACCTTCCATTCCTCCAACTGGATTTCTAACACTGCCCACCACATTGTCTTGCACATGAAGAGATTTATCATTCCTAGATTCCTCAATCAGGTTAGCATTTTCGCCAAAAGGTTGTCCTTCAATACAATATTTACAAGGAGTGTCAGACCTACTGCAAGCATTTGCTTTACTTTTATCTACTTTATCATGATGCTCTTGAAAAGGTCCTCCTGGTGTTCCAGAACAGGTTTCTTGGGGCTTGGTGCAAGAGAGAATATCATTAACATGTTTATGAATCTTCCCATGATTTGGTACTCTGATAAAGTACTTCGAGGCATGTGAAGCATCAACCACACGAATAGAATCAAACGCATTAACCTGCACAACAAATTTTAGTGGGACAAAAGGAAAAAAGATGCATGATGAAGACAGAACAAACAAGTACACAGCAGCTAAGTTTAGAATCCTTTTCTTTGCCAAAAAATCAATGATAGGATGCATTAAACAAAAATAGCTAACAGCATAAATAATAGAAATAAAACAAACAATCATGATCAATGAGTACAATTACATGCATATTGCCTGTACCATAAGTCAGCCAAACTGACAAACAGCTAACCATCTCAATTGTGTAATTGTGAATCAGATTAATCCACACAATATCTTAGATAATGTAAAAACTTTACATCATATTACTAAAAATCAGTAACCCACATCCTACTCACCAGTATTTTACTTCAGAATCTCAAGCCAGTATAAAAAAACTGCATGTGGGATTAAGCAATACCAAAATATGTTACTAGTGCATGGTTATGAATAAAATTCAAACAAAATTCAAATAAGAAATATGAAGAGTAATTTCTCTTTCAATATCAAGTATACAGGTATCCTGTGTTTTCAATATAAAGTACATCAACTTTTTTCTTCATAGATAAAGTTGGAAATAGAGACAACCAGTTAAGGGATATATAGAAAGCAATATAAATTGATAAAGAGATAGATAAAGAAAAAAAAAATTATTTAAGAAAGAGAACAAAAAAAGAGAGAGAAAACGATTCACAGAGTAATGCATTTCATCCCACAATACGAATGAGTCATTGATAACACTTCTTTGTCACCAAATAATAAGTATGGCAAAAATGCCTCAAACTTCCTAAATTTAACAATAAGAGTTGTAAAGTTCCAATATTCTGCAGCTCGAAGAGTTCAAGTAAGCCTAAATCAATGAGACCTTCTCAATGAGTAGTCAAGGTAGAATCAAAGAGAGAGTCCCTAAAGTAAACATCAATCTTAGTTGGCCAAAGTAATAGCAATTTAAATAACCAACTCAATTATCTTCAACAAGTCCACAAGCATCAAGCAATGATTGAAGGAATGTACATGTCTCCAGCAATTTCGACAAAGCATACAGCACAGATTGAAGGAATACATCTCCTTTAGAAAGTTTGAAAAAGAATACAAGAATGAAAGAGTGATCCCAAAATTCATACAAAGCTCAAGGTAAAACAAAGGAGATTTTATCATCAATAATTATACTGAAGCATAAAGATTAAATTGATGAATTTTCACCATCAACTAAACATAAGTTTGAAAGGCCAAGTCATTGATTCACATTATGATGAAAGGATTATTAATTACATCTAGGTTTGAGGTAAGGTTATGTAGGGTTCATTTCTCAACTTCACCAAAGCATAAAACATATGACAAGTTAATTTTACCCGAGTCTACGTCAAATCAAGATAGGGTATGGGATATGAATGTTAAGAGAGGCCGATATCCAATACTTTATGATGAAAGAAGGTGTAGAAGAAGGTCAAACCGATTAGCTAAACTCTAGAAAGAAAATAAATTATTAGTAAAGGATGAATCAGAGTGAGACAAAATGAGTGAAACAAAATGAGCCAATCATAATTGGTTAGAATCATTCATAATTCACATCATTGCAACAAATTGTGCAAGAATAGGAGTTTAGTTTATATCATCAAAGTGCATTTAAAAGTTGGGCATTTACATAAATAGCACAATATTCTTATATATTTACATATCTCACACTTAAACTTTCATAATTACACACAAAACACTCAAATATTTAATAACACATAAAATAGCACTATTACCACCTTTTAAAAGTCAAATATGTATTTTAATACATATGTTTAAAGCACCAAAGTGTTATATATGAATATGGAAGTTTAGGTGCGAGCTTTGTAAATAAATAAGAATTATGCGCTGCCAATGTAAATTTTCCTTAGAAGTTACAGAAAGTATCAGAAGGTACCAAGGGATTAGAAACCTCAAGGCCCTCAAGCTATAAGCTTCTAATCTGCTCTTAACATACCAATAAAAAAAAGTAACAGCTTTAAAGCTGAAAGTGAGTGGCTTACTTTAGCAGCTAATCGGAATACTCCCAATGTGTCCGCAACCATTTCAGCCACCATTTCACCTATGAAATCGCCAAATAGGTTAGAAATTTAAGAGAATTCAATTTTTATAAGAAAAAACAAATAAGTGTCAAAATAGTGCCCAGATTAATTACATAGGGCTATTTCAATCATAGAGCCTATGAAAGTGTCAAATTAATCCCCAGACAATAACTTGGGGATAAATAATAAAATAGTCTTTCATGGCAGACGATTTTAGCCCATATTAAAAGAGTTGGAGAGCTAAGTTGACACTTTTATAGACTGGGACTGAAATGCCATCTGCAAAAAATCATGAGACTATCAAATGAAATTTGAAGGAAATAAACCAGACCTTTTATTTTCAAAGCTTCAGAAATTTCGTCCATGCTTAGTCCCTGCTCACCAGCTCCACGAATGATAGAGTGAATGAACTTAAAATCTCTTGAAGAAGGCATCCCTTCATTTGCAATACCAGACGTCGACGCAAGATATTCAACATATCGAGACATACCATCCCAACATTTAGGAGAGTCGATTTCATGAATCACATCCTCATTGTCAGACGAAGATGTCAAACATGTTTCTTCAACTGAAGTAGAATCTCCTGTCAAAGTATGAATACTATCCTTTTCATATCCTAAACATTCAAAATCATCAACTGTCATAACTGATTCCATCTTTAGCATAACTTTGATGCCAGGGAAACCTTTCTCCCTGCGATCTCCATCTGCATTAGACGCAAGCTTGGATCTCTCAACCTTTTCGCTCCTGTATGACGCATCAGCTTTATGTTTCAAATTTTGTGATGCACCAATGTCACCGACTTCTCCCCATGAGGAAAAAGATTCTGGAGTTTTTAACTCATCAGCCTCCCCAATGCCACAATTTGGCAAGCATGGTGAAACTAAAATCTCTCCGAATAAAACAAGAGAAAAAAGATGGGCAATCTCCCCACACTGTAAATCTGGAGGGATAGTCACTCCATCCTGTATTAAATCATTCTTTTGTATTTGAAGCCAATTAGAAAAATTAGTAGCTCTTTTACCAGAGTCATTAGAAAAGGGAGAAGAGGAAAGATCTTGGAAAAACTTCCGAGAAAGTACAAAAGGTCGACTTCCATGTCCAACCACCTGAACAACAAGAACAAATATAATATTCAGTAAATCACACGTGGAATAAAGAAAATAATAAGGAAAAGAGCATAAATGACTATTTAATTTGAGTAAATACTATCATCAAGTGTATTTTAAAATCCTTTAGAAATACAATCAACTTATTTGCAATGCATCACGCGCACACACATACATAAAATAATAAAATTTTAAAAAAAACATTGACAAGTACTGCAAATCAAATTATATAGGTACTTCAGGTTGAAAGTAAAGCTCTACAATGAAAAAGTCAAATCTTGGAATTTTAAACTTATAAATTACGTACGATTGAACTGAAGAGCTATGATATTTATACTTCTACATTATATATTAAAAAAAAGGGTTTCTATGAAACTGGTTGAGCAATTTTATGATGAAATAGATTGAAAATTTAAAGACAAGCAGGGGCCACAGGTCTTTGTGATTTGGCCTTCCCTGCACTTCAGGAAAACTACCTTCATTAGCAATTGCCAATAATGAATGCCTTTTGATTCAGTAAACAGTGTTCATAAATTGACTTTTTATCATAAGATCAACAACATATTTTTAACTTAATATGAATTTTGGAAGTATAAACCAAATCATTCTAGTATATTATTTTTTGTGATTTCATAAAATAAAAAAAGCTTTTTTTCTTTTTTTTTTGAAATAAACCACACCAACTATGTCATTTTTCCCCCTAAAATCAACACCACCTTTTGAGTAAAACTATGAATCATGCAGTTTCATTATATAGTCAATATGAATAATGTATTTTCACGCTACCCTTATGATTTCCCTGTTTTGCCAATGGAATGGTTTATTCGTTTTTTATGAAATAACCAGTATGTGCCTTGGAAGTCTCCCGGTGGTGCATATATCATTTTGTTACACAATAATTCTTTTGTTTCATATGTATTGCCTTTGGGACTTGTTCCTTGTCAACTTTTAGCAAGACGGGACTGCATCTGGTTTACAACTGTTTAATGCACGTGATAGCTAAGCTACATATATAAAGTTCATGATATTCATTCTATTATGCACAAATTAATTTATGAATATTTCTCATTTAATATTTCCTTATCTTCGGAAATGATGGTCCCCCTCGCAAACATCTATACACTGATTGATTGACCATGTACCTACAGAATACCAGAGAAACTACCCATGCTCTCCTAAAGCTGCCCTTAGCTAAGGCTAAGCGGTATCAATAGACATATTCAAATAAATATTTAGGTACGATTGAGCCAAAGATTGAAAATCAGTTGACAAAAAAAAAAAAAAACAAAAAGAACTAAAAGGAAAAAGGGATACCGGATTTTCCCATTATAACATATTCGTCAGCGGTATACTGCAACAGTAAATTCAAACTCATCATCATATTCTTATCCAAAAAAATTAAGGTAAGTTGGAATAATACAACAAAAACAAGCCTTTATCCCACTAAGTTGGTTCAGCTACATGAATCCTTTTTCTCCATTGTGTCCTATTGAATGTCACATTTCATTTAATTCTAATAAATTAAGCTTGAATAATACAAATTTAATGAAATTACCTGAAATGAATAGCTACGAGAAAAAGAAATTCAAAAACCACATAACAAAATAAAGAAAAGTGCTAAAATGATCCACTTAATATTTGAAGGGGGGAAAGTTTTATACTTTTTAAAAATGTCAAATTAGTCCCAGACTATTTTAATAGGTGCTAAAATAGTCAGAACTTTAAAATTGGTTAAAATCGGGTAAAATTAACAGAGAACCTCCACTTTGAAAGGAAATTTTGGAGTTTTAATATGTTTGTTATGTTGCATGATCAAGCACACCAAGGGGTAGCTAGGGGTGATGATGCCTATGCGACTAGCACGACAAAGGACGACAAGGCAAGAATGACATGCACAGCTAGGGAAGGTGAGTTGAGCTCGAGCAGCAAGGAGCATTCAACAAACTTTGAGCAATGAGGCTTGTGAGAGCGTCCATGTAGCTTTGTGTAGTGAAGTCAATGTGAGCATTTGAGCGTCCGAGGAACTCCAACCACTGAGGCCAATGCAAGTGACTGAGGGCCTTCGAGCAATCGAAGCTTCTTAAAGAAGCATTTCGGAGCGCTAGTACAAGCACCCTAATAAAATAATTTCTGCAACGAGCTCAACATGGTGAGGCAAAGTTCAAACAATTTATCGAGCAGGCAAGAGGTACAAACTAGCTAGGTAAATGAATTTTTTTCTAAGAACAACTCCGTTTGATCACAATCCATTTCAACTGTACTTACAGATACTTCTTGTACATGAGAAAAAAAGTTAATGATAAATTATCTTTACATAAAAATAAAAAAGAAAATATAAGTGCCCAAAATACAGCCATTTTTGACAACCTAAACACCAATTATAGCTTTAAAATTTGGGATTATTTTAGCTTAAAAACTTTAAAAAGTTTGGGACTAAAATAGCTCACGTCAAATAGTCAAACGACCATTTTGACAATTTTCTCTAACATAATATATCCCATACATAGAAACTAAGTTAGCAAATTTTTTTAGGAGTAATATATTTAACAATATTGTATAAGCACAAGCCATAACAACGATGAATAAATTGAAATAAAATTACAACATAATTGCAAAGTTTTATTGTGCAAATATTGCTAAATTTGTGGCCAACATCTTCTCATTTATAGCAACTCAGCAATTTGTTAACAATAGCTTTTAATCTACCCCAATTTAGTAAAATATGGATAACAAATTTCCATTATGGTGTAATCAAGCAACCCATGCAGAGCAGCATTCCATCCATAACAATCCAACAATATAAAGATATAAGCTTTCCATCTCTAACAATCCTGCATAGTTAATTTTGGATTCCAAAACTAAAATTGATTTTTAAGTTTATTTCTTTCAATGGTAGATATTTCTTCGCCTATTTAATTACAACTCCTCATACTTTTCTAACGAAAAATAAGGGAAAAAAATTCAACCATACAATCTCTGATTATTTGCTCCACTCTCATCTCCAACAATGCTGTATAGTTAATTTTGGATTCCAAAACTAAAATTGATTTCCCTGTTTAGTTATTTCATTGCCTATCTAAGTGCAACTTCTGCTAATACTTTAATAACAAAGCTTAAGGGAATAAAATTCAACCATACAATCTCTGATTATTTACTCTCATCTCCTCTCCGCTCCTCATTTTAAGTTTTAAGATGACATCAAAGCTATTATGGTTATATTTACTGTGAGGCCAAAGGATTCTTCAAATAAGGATCCTCTACTTTATGTTGACAAGTCGTTCATTAACATTGAAATGCAATATTCGTCTAACAATAATGAATAATATAAATGTAAAGGATCCTCTTAAAAAAGAATATGTGGAATTTACAATAAAAAAAACGGTGGCAAATGCATTAAAAAAGAAAATAATTATCAAAAAGACTACAATTCTAACCCCAAAATTTAACTTAAAAAAAAGGTCTAAATCAAAAATAGGAAAAATCCGCGATAAAGAATTGAACTAAGAAAATTCTAAAAAGAACCTACAAAAAAGAACAAATCACGATAGCCTTTTTTTCCTATTTCAACTTTTTAACAATCAATCAAAGACAACCAACTATTCTCCCGATAAAAGGTTATTCAAGCACTACACTAAATTAACCTTGCTCAGAAGCCAAACTCTTAATTGCAAACAACAGAAAACTATTATTTGGATTGTAGACTTGAAAGCATCAAATCATATAATAGTAAGCACAACTGTCTCAACAAATAAAACCTATACCATACAAGTAACGATGTCTACATTGCAAATAGGTCATTATCAGAAGTAGTCTGAATAAATTCAATTATTCTCTCAAAAAAATCTAACACTTAACTCTAAGTTTTGAGTACTTAATTTGGATCGTAACTTACTATTAATAAATAAACCCATTTAAAATAAAATTTAATGTTACTAATTTCTTATTTAATCTATATAGCTTTTAGCGCTTGAATTCAATGAGGACAATTGGCAGTATAGAGATATATTTAGGACTCGATGAGGACATTCTAAACATTTGAACACCATGGTAAATATTAAATTTCAAACCATAACATAAATTCTCAAAACTGACAAATGTTAGTAAATACCTTAATTTGGTCCTAAGAAATCATCTCTTATAACAAAGAATTATCAACCGAACATCATATGATGATACCCATTAATTGAATAGGTCCTCTTAAAGGAATATAGAAACTTTGTTGATGAACTTATAGATCAATAATATCTTAAAAACTTTTATTAAATATATTTGGATATAAGCTATCCCAATAACTAAAAATCCCATTCATAAAATAACCTCAAAAGTGTCTAAATTTCAAACTAGCCCTTCATTCTATTCATTTTTATGACCAAAATCATTTATTCTCTTTCTCAAAAATTTTTTGGGTGCTAAGTCTTTATTCAGATTCATTCTCACAACCATCGCAAATTAGAAATTTTATTCACAAAAACATCTAAATTTTAAACTAGTCCTTCATTCTATTTATTTTTTAAGACCAAAATCATTTATTTTCTTTCCCAAAAATCCTTGGTTGTTCAGTCTTTATCACATTCATTCTCACCACCATAGCAAATTAAACACTAAATTTGTTAAAAATTACTTTCTTTGAATACTCCCTAAACAAAAAAAAAGGTATAAAGACTACTCTAAATTTTTTAAGAATATCATTTTTGAATACTCCAGAAATTAAAAAAAAAAGTTATAAATACTATTACTCAATAGAAAATTTTATACTTCCATAAACAAAGCAATCCTTGAACACAAACCTTCTAACTCCAACCTCAAAATTTAGGAGAAATTCAAGAATAATAATTTTAATTTTGAAAATTTTTTTATCATCCAACATTATATTTTATCAAACCCGTAGAAAATGAACATTTTTTATTACCATTTTTCCAATCAATTGAAGCCTTGCCTTGTTAATACAACTAACTTAAGGATAATGGGTTTTATGTCAATATTACGTAGGAACAGAAAAA